TTTTTTTTTGCTCATTCCTTTATGTGAAGAATGTATATCGCTCATTCAATCTTGATGGTCTTTATAATTGTCTTTTTGATCAAATTTAAGTTTGTCTGTAGTTATCCTTTTTAATCTAACATCATTTGATCAATGCGAACGGTCGTATCGATTAAATGAAAATTTGGTCTCATTGTAATTTAATTTTTCTTTTTTCATTGATCTAGCTGTAAGAACATAGCAAGATGAACTTTTTCTTTCCAAACTGTTTATCAAAACAAGAGAAGAGTCATAGATTTTTGACAGGCTTATGTTTGCATGATTCTGAGTGATTAGCAAAAGGATGGGTTCAACAATTTTGCGGATGCCTTTTTCGTTCTAGACTTTTCTGCACAGAAAATATTACGATACGATGCAGCGCTCAAGCGAAGCAAGAAAATATTGTAAGGGAAGGCGTGCATTTATTTGCTGAAAGAGCCTAAAAGTGAATGGTTAAGAGGCAGACGCTTTCTTGCGTGCTCAGGCTTCACCTGTCGCAGATGAAATGGCAATGGACGAAAGGAACGGGTGAGTAAGCTTCTAGAGAAGCTTGGAAGATTTTCTTGGACTATGTGAGAAATGAATTCTTACTACTCGGATATAACAACTTTGGAAAGCGACGGTTGACACTTTTGAGGAAGTATCGTAGGAATATTAATCTCATATAGACGCCTATTTATCAACTTCCAGATGTTTGGTGAAGGAGAAAATATGTCTAATCTGATTTCTTCCAAAAGTAGCCAGGTTTTCTTTGGTGCAGTTACCCACACAATGGAAAATGAGCTTTGCAATGACCTTTCTCACAAAGTCCTTCAAATTCAATAACCAATATTTGGACTAAGCGAGTGAATGCGAATTGTGAACTATCTAAAGAAGTTCATCATAATTTGTAAATAAATGTGAGTGTAAACATATCCACAATCAATAATTGATTTGCTACTTATTAGTCAATTTTATTGTGCGCAGAACCGATTTGTGAAATACAAATAAGAGAATAACATAAACTGGCTCTTCTTGATAAGGAACTAATAATGGTTGCGACTAGCAGTACTAAATTTGTGATGCTAAGTGATGAAATGAATGTAACTAAGTTTTGGCTATCACAACGAAACATCAGAGCACGTAATTGCACCAAAGAGATTAAAAAACAACTAAAAACTTTTACATATGTACTTAGTGACTACATCGTCGTAGCAGTTGGAGAATGACGCGATATTGCATGTCGTAAACTCGATACAATGATGTCCTCTCCCGCATTCTTCCTAACTTCACTCTTGTCCACATCGGCTTGAAGGCTTGATATTACCGTTGAGGCGATTTTATTGAAAAAAACAGACCATCGCTGTCGTTGAGTTCGCATCAGATGATCACTTCCGGACTGCAGATGGGTTAACTAAGTAAGAAGCAGGCAAATGAGCAAAATACTCACTTCTATCAGTTCCAGTAAAATAGCAGCAGTTGCGAATGTCCTCATATCTCCTTCTGTTAGTAAGGACATAACTCTCCACAGCGAGTTCGCAGTGAAGAGGGTAACCTTTTTGCTAGTCAATCCTAAAAAAAA